AAGGGGAGGAAATGAGACGGAAAGGCTTCTGGGTCAAGACAAAGACAGGGAGATCACTTGACAACTACTGTCATGGGCAAAAGAGTTCCAGCTTGGGGAAAATTAACTTAAATTACTGCCAGTTAAAATAGATTCGGATAGTGAAAAACAAAGAAAACTAAACCACGTCCCACTCGCCTTCCTTTCCCAGGCTCAACTCCACTCCTTCATTCCCAGCTCTTCTGCCTCCCTCGCTCCCACACACCCTGAGTGACACAGGGGGATGGGGAATGTGGAGTTGTGGTCAGTCCGTGCTGTCTCTGCCTCTCCTTCCTCCTCCTCACACTGCTCCCTGATCCAGTGTGGGCCCTTCAACGGGCTGCAGTCCTTCAGGATAAACGTGCTCCACTGTGGGCTCTCCAGGGGCTGCAGGGGATTCTCTGCTCTGAAGCCTGGAGCACCTCCTCCTGCTCCTCTTTGTGCTCGCAGGGCTGTTTCTTACACTTTTTTGGTTTTCCCCCTTTTGCCTCAAAGCCTATGCTGTGCTTTTGGCCTTTCCTAGATGTGTTTTCCCAGAGGTGCCCCACCTGGGGCTGACGGGCTCCGCTGTGCCCCATGGTGGGTCTGCTGGAGTCATAAGGAAATGGCTCTGTCCAGCATGGGGCACCTCCAGCCTCTTCTCACAGAGGGCACTCTGCAGCCACCGCTGCCAGTGCCCAGGCACCAAAACCCAGTACAAGAATACAGAATATGGAATATACAATATAGAAAATAAGTACATGTGAAAGTAGAAATAGAAATACACATAGAAATAGGTACACAAATAGGCATAATGTGTTACTTATTTAGTCACAAATGCACTTTTTACATATATATACACTATATAGTGTATATATTTATATCTGTGTATATATACACAGGTGTCAGGGAGCAGTGAGAGTGAGGCTACTCCATTAAAGCCAGGCACCAAGGCATGGCCATCCCCTACCTCACCAGGATGGAGATCTGCAATACGTAAGGAGGACTGAGGTGGTGAGCTCAATCAGCTCCATCAGCCTTTCACCAGGTGAGGTAGGCAGGCAGGCCCAGCATCCACTCAAGAAGCCCAGGCAAGAACAGCAAGGGACATGACTGTAACATAGGTCCAAGGTCTGTCCAAGAGACAGGGATTGGTGCAAGACCTACCTACAACATAGATTCAGGTTTAGCATCTGCAAAGAACTACTTGTGTACGGAAAAACCCAGAATACGTTTGCCTTGGAGGGTAGACTGAGCCAATGCTCTTTATGCAGCACATTCAAACCACAACTAAAACCAGGGAAAACCAGAGAATGCTAGTATCTATGGTCACACAAGGGCCCTTCAGCTTTCCTCTTCCTCTTGTAGGAATGCTTCAGACCTTTAGGGTGCCTCAGGATCCCCAAGAACACCAATCAGATAATGAACACTGAAAACAATTCTCATTCACACAGCTGGTGTGTGAGGTCCAGTCATTCACACACTGCAAGTCAACTGCATGTACGTGCTAACACAGGCAAAGAGAGACAGTTGTTTCTCAGCTGCCACA